TAGACATCTCATTACCCATTATTTGTTGTTTCTTATACGGTGCTGATACAGATGCTACCAGGGAGCCCCTTACCCCCAAGTTTGACTATCGGTGGAATCTGATTAAGAAAAGGTCCTTTCCAGTGTGATACGGTGGTGAGAGAGACCAACAAGAGGATGATATCCCAACACATTTCTTTGGATAGTGAGAGTGCAGATTGGGTGCTGGAGTCCAGAGGCCTTATCAAGAAGACCAACCTCCCATTTGCTCCCAAGTTCATCTTTCTATTGATCCTTCACTGCCTATCCCCCATTTCTTTTAACAACATTCTTACATGGTATAAAGCAGTATTTGTAGCTGCTATGGTTACGGGGTTCGAGGTGGATTTTCCAAGGCTGTTGCTGGCAGTGATTCATTAGAGGGCCTTTAAGGCCTCGACCACTTATCCTTTTCCCTATATGATTTTTGAGTTGTGCAGGTCTTCTAAAGTGCCCAATTGGCACATTGATTTTCTCAGGACACCTACTAGAAGAATTGATTGATATTGGTCTCATCCACGATGATGCCAATGAGGCGGCAACCAACAAAGGGCCCAGAGTAGAGGTGCAGCCGCTAGGTAAGAACTTGGTGGACACGATAAAGCAAGCCCAAGGGGCTGATCAAGATACATCAGAGCGTACCGACACCAGAGCTCCGAGTTCCTCCCGATCTACATCATCAGCAGCACTGTTCCCAAATGCTAGGGTCTAGAAGCTAGAGGCCCAGATGGTCACACTACTGCTCATATCCAGTTGTGGATGCAGAGGTCCATTGCCGAGGTAGAGAATCGGGTCAAGAAAAATATTGCTGAGCAGAATGTGAAAAAGATTATGGCAATCCACTAGTGGGTTGATTCATTCGAGTTGAGAGTTCTCACCCATCCAACCCCTACTATTGATTTGTCGATTCTTCAGGGTGCTTTGGCGAGTCTAAGGGCTGATGTGGATAACATTGTGGATGTGCGGGTACCTTAGCCTAAGGCCACACCTGTGGAGCTTGCTGAGGACACTGTGTTTACTGCACTGTTCCAGAATAGTGTTGCGCCATCCCCTCCACCACGTGAGCATTCCAAGAGGCTCTAGTCGAGATATGGTGACGATGCTCGGGTTAGAAAGAGGGAGCGCACTGAGTTGGAGGTCGCGAGGAGAGCTTCTTTGGTATATGAGGAGCCCCAACAGATGAGTGCTCATGAGTTGGCTGTAGGGGTGTCTATCTGCAGGCTTGAGGATGTTGATAGGAGCACCACTGAAGGGAGCGATTTCGAGGAACCCGACCCGTCAGCTTGTTGATCGTCGGTGTTATGCGCCTCATGTTTGCTTCACCTACTACCTTTTTTATATATCTTATGCATTGGGGTCAATTTCATTCTTTCTTGTTGGGGGTGGGGTAAATGGAAAGTGAGTGCTAGGGTGAATTATTAGTAGTGCATGTCATGATTCTCTATTAGGGCTTTCTCACTTGTGTTCTTTTCCCCAAGAGACTGATTATTTTACTTTTGAACCGGTATGTTTAGTATCTTGTACATAGTATGAATGTGAAAACTAAATCATGATGGCTATGTACAATGATATCCCGTTTTATAGTGCATGCTTGCATGATTAGGCATAATGAATGTTGAATGTGGTGGTTCTAAGAATGACATAGAGATACACCATTGCATGATCCTCAATCTAAAGCTTAAACTAGGTATCCGAAAATTTGGTAGGGTCATGAGGTGTTAAGAGACTGTGAGGAAAGTAGAATAGTCTGATGGTTGCCCGGTTAGTCCTCTAAAAAGTAATCCGTTCTAGACAATTAGGAAAGGATCAGAGGACCTTGTTTAAATTAGCCAATCTTTATCCTAAATGAAATAAATCTAAATAAAATTAATCCCTTTTTGACCCAAATGATTTGAGCTTACAATAGATCTTTCTTTTCTATCCCAACTCATCATTTCTGGGTATAATGTGTTGGCCCTGGTCCCTCCTTGGACATGTGCACCTTAACTTAGGCCAAAAGCATAAGTTGAGGGTGGTTAATACAGACACGAATCTCGTCTTGTCCCTGACCCAACCTTGGTTATTGTGTACCTCGAATCATGACAAAGCCATGAGTTAAGGGTGGCTATTATTAATAATGTGTCGAAAAGTGGGGTTGAAAAGATCAATGAAAAATGAGAAAAGAAATAGTGAAGAAGGGAGTGACTCAATCAAAGTTGAAATCAAGTGAAGAGTTTGAAAGAAAATACAAATAAAAGAAGAGTCATTTGCACAAAACGAGAAAGAAAGGAGAAAACAAGGCAAAGAATACAAGAAAAAGGATGAATAGGGCATAATAGACAATGAAAGAGGTATGATTCTTAGCCGTAATGGTAAGGAGGACAACAAGACACCAAAATGTATCCATATGTACCATACCTGACCCTAAGTCTATGTTACAAGCCAAGAAAGTCGTATCGTGATCCTGAGAGTCTAATATGGTGAACTTAAAGCAGTGAAAATAAGGGCAAACCTATGGCGACAAGTATCAACTTGGTGTGATGTTGTTTTGAGTGTGAGAGTTTAAAAATATTCCTTATACTCAAATTGAAATCACTGTGTGAAAAAGGAAGATATTATTTTTCAAGTGAGGACATTAGTTGCAATATTGGAAAGTTGGTACCTTGGTGAGAGATAAAAGAGGAGAGGTGTCGGGTCATGGTGAGTCTCTGTCATGGTCTGATCATCATGAATGATCATAGTGAGCCTAAGAGTGATATCATGCATAAAGGCAATAAATCTAGATTGATAGCTAGATGATTGCGAAAGCTTAAATGAGGATACTTTTGTACAAAGGTGTTGTTGTGAGTCATAGAGCGTCGTTTAAAGACAAACAACAAATTTAAGTTGAGGATGTTGATGTAAAGTGGTTTCACAGTACTTTGAATACTTTTTCCTTAAGTTTAGTGTGAGTCTAGAACCTTTTTGTAGTAATTATAATGTATTTTTATCTGTGTTTGTAGGAAACTGTCCAAAATGGAAACGCAGAGGACTATGCTGGAAACAGTGCAGAAGTGATGACCTATGGAGCCATCGATGGACCGTCGACATATCGATGGTCCATAGGTTGTGATCGTCGAATTGATGTTCAAGTTGCTAAAATCAAATGGGGGAATTCTGAATAAGTGTGGGGCTATGGAAGGATCGACCGATAGTCGTAGCAAACCGTTGATAGTAACAGAAAGTGGTTCGAGTCCCGACTTAAAGAAATCACTAAGTATGGAGGAACGGAGGCATCGACGGGCCATAAGTGCAACGACGGACCGTGCTATTGGTCTGTCAATTGTAACAGAACGAATGCAAAAGTGGAGGCTGAAAAAGATTTGAAGTGTGGACCGACGGAGGCAGTCGATGGTCGTTCCATCGACAGAACGTCAGTTGGGTCGTCGACTGAAGACGCGTTTTGGAAAGATTTTTCCTTATTTAGAACTCCTTCTATTTTAGGACTTTATTAATATAAATAGGGTTAAAAACCACATTTTTAGGGTTATACTTTTTGTTATTTTTCATAATTGTGTTATTGGAAGTTGAACTTTAGTTTTTAGGAAATATTTCAAGTTTCTGGAATTGATTCTCAAGATGTTTTCTTCAATTCAAGTTTTATTTATGGATTTTCTTCAAAATCTATTATGTAAGTACATGAATTCTTTTTTAATAACTATGAATTGTGTATTTCTAAGCATGGGTAACTACCTCTACAACTAGTGTTGTGGGAACCATGGTAATTAACAAGGTAAAACTAGTTAAATAACAATTCTAGTATAGTTTCTTGCATGTATTGATAAATCTTTCGTTTATAAGTCTTTTTAACGGTGTCCAATGTTAGAACTCGCCTTGTTTCTACTTGTCGTACCAAGGAGGTTTTTAATAAGAAAAGAATTATCAACATAGATTTAGTATACACTATATAATAGAATAGTTTTAATTGGTGCAAAGTAGTAACTTAGTCATACATTGAATATGATGCTTAATATGAGGTAAATATAAGATTTAGTAAAGTAAACATACGTAGATGGACCAAGGTACAGAGTGAAATTCTCTAGTTGCCGGATCAAGGAATTAGGGATACATAACATACTACTTTGAGCAAGATATTAGGAAAGAGTTGTTATAGCTAGGATTACCGCTTTATGAACCTATGAGAATACTTATACCCTAGTTTCATTCATCACTTGATAAACACCAAAGTCATAAAATTGCTATTTGTTTTACTTACAAATAATCAAGCACTTTTCTTACATAAAACCCCCCTTTTATTTAACTTGTTTGGGAAAGGATTTGACTAAATAGACGTAATCATAGATTCAAGTTAAGTCTAAACAATTTCCCTCATGGGATCAACCCCAACCTTAAAATTTGGTTCTTTACTTGATACGACCACTTATACTTCTTTAGGGAAGTATAATTTGAGCGTATCATCGTCTAGCTAGGAGGAATATCAAGGAACAAGATTTACTAAATGCACCTGGAGTGAAACCTCAAGGAGAAGTTACCTATGCTAAGTTTCGTGAGTCTATTCGAATGTTAAGTAAAGTTGTGACCTATCAAATTGGATAGAAATATAATTGATAAGAAGTTTTTGGTACTTCAAGGATCCGTGAACTTTTAAGGATGAGTCCCCAAAGTTTCACATGTTAAAGTTTCATTAAGGATCCAAAGAAATTTATTGAGAAGCTGAAAGGGTATTTGATGTAATGTATGTTGATAAAGTGGATAGAATGGAACTAGCTGCATACTAAATGAATAGTGTCACCAGAATCTTGTTCGACCAATGGAAAAATAATAGGGCGGAGGATGCACCAATAGTGAGTTGGGTTATGTTTGAGAGAGCTCTCATGGGACATTTCTTTCCTCCTAAGTTGCGAGAGTCAAAGATAAGAGAGATTCTCACCCTCACTCCGGAGTCTATAAGTGTTCACAAGTATAGTCTAAAATTCGCAAAACCTTCCTGCCATGCTCTAGACATGGTTGTTGAAATGAGGAGCAGGTTGAGTTTATTTGTTGTTGGGTTGTCTCGTCAGTCAATCGAGGAAGACAAGGAAGCTATGCTGATAGAGGATATGGACCTAGAAAGGTTTATGATCAATGTACAACAAGTTGAAGAGGATAAGTTGAAGGACATAGATGAGTTGCAAAATAAGAGATCTGAGACATCAGGGAAGAAGTTTAGGCAACAAAAGAGTGATGCTAACCGGTCATCTCTCCCACAAAATTAGAAGGGATCTTTTCCATCATCTATGAGTGTACGTGCACCTAAGAACAAAAGTGAGTACAGTAGTCTGAAGTTCAGAGCTAAGGCAGTCTATTCTAAAGATAGTATGTCACAAAAGGAGAGTAGGCCTCCTGCATGTGCTAAGTGTGGTAGAAACTACTAAGGTATTTTTCGTGTGTGCTTTACTTGTTGTTTATTGTGTGGGTCATAGTAGTCATATTCTAAGCGAGTGTCCTGAGAGCCGGCAAGGTAGTGGAAATCAGGGAAACATGGACCAATCTTCTCCAGTTTCTCCTCCAGACATAGCTACACCTAGATGGGATGCTTCCAGTACTGGTGGAGGAACAAAACACTTATAGGCTATCAAGAGTCTTCAAGAGTAAGAGGGTTCACCATATACTGTCAGTGGTATGATTCAAGTATTTGAGTTACTTTTTATTCTTTGCTAGATCCAGGAGCAAGATTTATCCTCTGTAATTCCTTATATTGCTATGGATTTTAATGTTATTCCTTAGCATCTTAGTGAACCATCCACTGTTTCCATACCTATTGATAAGTCCATTCTAGTAGAGCGAGTCTATCGCGATTGTCCATTTTTGTCAATCACAAGAGTATCATGGCTGATATAATTAAGTTAGCCATGGTAGAGTTTGATGTCATTCTTGGTATGGACTGACTTCATGCCTATTATTCCTCAGTCGATTGTAGAACTTGAGTAGTAAAGTATCAATTTCCAAATGAACCAGTCTTAGAGTAGAAAAACAATTCAGTAGTGCATAAGTGTCTTTTCATTTCATACCTTAAGGAAAGTTAGTTTCTTAGGGGTGTCTCTATAACTTAGTCTGAGCTAATGAATCTAGTATTAAGGTACCTATCGTTCAGTCAGTTCCTATAGTAAATTAGTTTCCAAAAGTTTTACTTGATGATCTACCCAGATTAACTCTTGAGAGAGAAATAGACTTCAGCATAGACATCATTCAAGATATTTGTCCTATCTTTTTTCGCCATAGAGAATAGCACCAAAAAAGTTGAAAGTTCATGAGAAGAATTACCCAACCCATGACTTAGAGTTTGGTGTTGTAGTGTTTTCTTCGGAATATGACATCAGTATCTTATGTATTTAGTTAGAAAGATCTTAATATTAGGCAAATAAGGTTGTCTACGGGTAGTACCGCCCATTTTGAGGAAGACAAGAAAGATTTAGCAAAGGAGCATAGATTTTCACAATTAGGAGTTCAATTAATGAATTTCACAGAGGGAGGAGCCGTGGTGATGAATGGGTTTGAATCATCATTAGTATCAGAAGTAAAAGGAGATAAAGACCAATACCCTATTTGACTAAATTAAAGGCAAGTTTTCATAAACAATAAGTGACGACTTTGAACAAGGGGGAATAGCGTATTGAGATGTCAAGGAAGGTTGTGTGAACCAATGGTAGATGATTGAATTACTTTTAAGTTTCACACATGAAGGGTGTGATGAGATTTTGTAAGAAGGGAAATAAGTTTGTAGAAGCTACTTGAGAAGCTAAACAGGATAGGAAGAAGAGATACCCACATATCTTCAAATCCGAAGAAGTTCCAAATTGAGGTACTAAATTTTTTCTTGGCACTGATTTGCATGTTATGTTTATATTTCACTCTTGGGTGTTAAAGCTGAATGTAAGATGTTACACTATAAGCCTAGTAAGAAGTAATATCATTTGAGGACGAATATTCCAAGGGTGGATATTGTAACATCTCACAAATTAAAATAGCTAGGAAGAAGCGTAAAGTTGAAACAGTAAGTTTTGGAAAGAATTAAAATCTGAAAATTTTCTTAAGTTAGGAAAAAATGAGTTTTTGATCAACTTCAAATGGCCATAACTCCTATATCAGGATGAGCTAGAGGTAGTTTTTTTTATATGGTTTTAAAGAACAGCCACCGTGTTTGTCTATTTTTTATATCGTGTTAGTGATTTATGCCTATTGGATTTTGGTTTTTGGAAGTAAGGAAATATCCAATCTGGATTTAAGGAAGGACAAACAAGTCTTTTCATCGATTAATTTCCTTTTTCCATTTTAAAGGTTTATTGGGGTCAAAACTAAATTTAGTTCAGTTTTAGAAAATCGAAATCACGTTTAGGGCTTGTAAAAGAGAGAGAAGAAGAAGGAAAGGGAGAAAGGATAAGAATTTGCCAAGAACGACAAGGTTTGCGAGTGGATTTCGTCAGGTGTGGTCTCAATCAAGGTATGTGAGATATTTTCGTGTTGGGTTAGTTCACCCACACAACAATGTATTTAAATTAAGAGATTTTGAGTTGGTTGAATGATAGAAAGTGAAGTTCTTGAAGAACATTATTAAACTTTTGTTAGTTGAGTTGTTGCATGCTGATAGATTAACTGATTCTTTTTTCCTGGTTGTTTTTCGAGTGAAATCCATCGGGTATTGAGGGTAAAAATATTCCTAAGTATATATCAAAAGAACCATGAAAATGTAGAGAGGATTTAGACATGAAAAATGAAGGAGATAAATCAGAGGATTTCAGGGCAAGGGATGGGGCGCCGCTGTTGAATGAGCACCACAAAAGTTCTTCTAAATTTTTTCCTATGGTGCGTCACGCAAGCCATAGCAAGAAAAGTTTTCAAAATTTTGAGGGATGGCGCCCCGCGCCTTTCAAAGCACTAGGGGTGCCAATTACCCCATTCTTCCCCCACCTATTCTTACTAGTTCTTAAGTGATAAACTCCGAATTCTTAGTTTATTACAACACTCTAAGGTACATATAAACATCATAAAATCATCCGTGAACATAAGGTCTTGAACCTTGAATCCATATTCCAATTCAAGAAAAGTTAGGATTAAAGTTAGAGAAGTTAAAAAGCAAGTTAAAGCAAAGTTCTTAAGAGTTGTCATGGGTCTTCACAATGTTTTAACTTTACATTAAGACTCAAGTTTCAAGTTATGCAACAAGTAAAGAGTTGATTTCATTTATAAAAAAGTTATAAGGGACTAAGTTCTCCCTAAGAGTAGTGTTAAGACTCAAGTTTCAAGCTAAGTAAAGAGTAAAGAGTTGAAGTTCTCTCTTCAATAAAATATATAGGTACTATGTATTCCCAGAGAGGTTTAAAAGAAATGTTTTTCACATTTGAAAAAGAATGAAAATTGGGTTACCAAAAATCCTTAGGGCTATTTTTCAGAAAAGAGGTATAGCTTTACAAAATAAAGGTAGCAGGGAAACTGAGATTTCCAAGATAGATTTTGAGCTAAGTCTTTGAGTACTTATATTAAATCACAAGAGAAGTTGTTTGTTTTAAAACATATAAGTTAAGTATATTTCTGGAAGTAGTATTGAGCACCGATTTGGGGATGTGAGTTTTGTATTAACTCAAGTCTCCATGAAAACCATGTATCCATCATTGGCTAGAAAAGGGTCATACTTTTTGGATGAATCCTTTTCACAATAGACTAGTGGATCCATTAGGTAGTTCGGGTTCTATACTCTAGCAAGGTTAGGAGGGCCGGACAGTGTGGGTCGAGTAACGATGTATCACACTATAACTTGAAAGAGATGATTGTGGGTTAGAGAAACTCCCAGAATAGTAGTTGCATGGTTTCTCAAGAGGTTTTGCTTAGTATGAATAAAGGTATGAGACTTCGTTCATGCATTGCACGAGTATAGTTTGAAAGGAAGCATGATATGTCTTTTATTACAATTTATAATTTGCCTTAGTTTATTCTGTATATTTACATACATCTAGAGTTATTTTGTATCTTTGCATACACATAAGTTTACAACATGTTTTAAACAACTTTTCGTTATTATGCACTTACTTTTAAATTGCTTAATATTAAAATGAGTTTAGTTAAGTGTTCATGAGTTAAGCAGAGCCAAGATAAGTGTCTCCTTCATAATCTCCTACAAGCCTATTTTGTATTAGCATTACAGCTCGCATACTCATGCATTCAATATATTGATGCCAATCATGGTGCATTGCTTATAATGCAAATGCAGGTAGTTAGGATAAGCATCCAATGTACTGTTGATCCTATGGGCAACTCAGAGTCAGCTGGTGAACCTCTCTACATTGCGGAGGACAACTTTATCTTTCAGTTACTGTTTTAAGTTTTCAATTGTTAGGATAATTAGGGGTCCTTCCCAACAACCATATTTATTGAAAGGATTCATAGACATATAATGTTAGTTCTTTTGTCATATTCATTCCAGCTGTATATGTTTAAGATTTAAAGTACCATTTTGTCTAAGTTATTATCTTTTTTAGCTATTTCTTGAGTTATGTTCTCTTGTGTTTAAGTCTTTCGCTGAGTGAGTAAGGACAAGGGTTCGCTCGAGGCCAACAATGGTTTTCGAGTGCCAGTCCCGTCCAGGGTGTAGGATCGGGGCATGACATAATTTTTTAGGATAGTTTAGGGTGTTTTTTTGTTTATTATGTAGTATAAGGATGTACTTTATGTTTAAGGTATAATTGAGGGATGGTTTTATCCATTTACTCTTCTTTCCATATTCATAATGTCACGAATAGAACCTTTTTGATTGGCTCCACACTACGATTCGGTGGGAGAACCACAACTAATAACCACCTAAATCAAGAAATATAAAACTAAGTTATTTAATTTACGGAAGCAAGTTAAACAACTAAAGGAAAGATTCCATTACAAAATAAATATCTAATAACTAACAAAGCGGAAGATAAACATAGAATGTGCGAGTCAATATATCAAAACTATATACAATAACCAAGTCTAATAAGAATTTCTAATAAACTATCTCACTGACTAAAAAAAGTTTTTGTTCCAAAAATAGTGGACATAGACTAAAAAGAATTTCATGGCAGCCAAAACGATGTGCCTCACTCTTGAACTCGAAGAGATCACCGATCTCCTAAGTGAGGTTTGTCAATAGTCGTGTGAAAATGTCTTGTACATAACAAAAATAAGTGTAACATTGCAAAAAGTTACATTTATAGTGAAGATCCAAGTAGGTCTTTAAAATGCATATTGGGGGTACGTAGTCCTCCTAATGCCCAATATTGAGAAATAGAGGGCATAGCCTAGAAAATTGGCAAAGGGGTATTAGCAAATTTTTATATAATACCCAAATAAGCAAAATATTGGGCATATTAGAAAATATTGGATTAAAGGTTGTTAGAAAATTTTCTAAAGTTAGTAAGCTTGTTTGGGAAATGTACCTTCAATAAGGACCCTAAGCTAAAAAATCAAGTTGCATAATAGTAACACATTAGGTAATAGGAATCCATATTTCAAGCGTAGTACCATATCACATGACCATTTAAACAGATTAAGCAGTGCCCAAGGACATAGTGAGGATCCTTGAGACAATAAGTAAACATTCAAAATGA